GAGATACAGCTGGAGATGGACCAAAAGGGGGTGATGCCTCAGGGAACAGCGTCGACACACTACCAGCGAAACCTGGTGGAAGCACTGATGTCCATACAGGGGTGAAAGATAGGGAGGAAACAGGAAAAATAAATGCACCACCAGCAAACGCAGCTACAATAAATCCTAGGAAACAGGATTACAATATATGTAAATACTATGCCTTGGGTATCTTTAGGCACGGTATATCTGGTAAAACAGGTGGGACATACACCTTTGACCATCCCAAAAAATGCCGCACCCACATGACAACAGGAGAGTGCTACTTCCCCTCCTGTAACTTATTCCACCCAGAAATGTGTCACTGATCAATCCATGAATGAAAATGCTACAATGCATACTGCCAGGCACATCATCTAAAGGGGATTAGAAGACACAGACCAGCCAGACTATGGGAAACAAAAGAGGGGAGCCATAACCTCTCCAGGGACAAAGGTTTTTTTAGGGCCAGGAAGGGGAAAAAGACTGGCAAGAAATGACAATAATCCTACACCAACTGAAAACGCTTCTAGAGCAGAGGCACGGACATTGGCCTCTACTCCAGAACAACAGATATTAGAGCCAGCGAATAAACCCCCCTAAATTCCACCAATATAACGACATTTGTCTTTGCAAACATACAGGGTCTAAAGCCGTCAAAAAACAACAAAATTTCTTACATCAAGGGACTGCTCATGGAGTCAAATGTAATGTTTGTAGCTTTCACAAAAACCCACATAAAGGATCATTATGACAGCGAAATATGGCTCCCAGGTTATAACCTATTCCGATGCGACAGACTAAACAGGCAACAAGGGGAGGGGGGGTTGGTCTGTACGTCACAGAGTCGCTCATTTGCACAGAACTACTGAACACCTCAAATGATGTAGTTGAAGTTTTGGAGGTAAAGATGAAAATCAAAACCTTGTCATTGTGGTAGTATACAAGCCTCCAGATGCAACTTCCCAGCAATTCCAGGAGCAGCTTGTGAAAATTGACCACTGTCTGGAAAATCTTCCAACTCCTGCCCAAAACATCTTACTACTAGGAGATGACAACTTGAGACACCTAAAATGAAGGAGTATAGCAAACAATGTTTTAGCAGAGATCACCCCAGGAGGCAGCTCAGATGAAAATTCACACACACACACACGAACTATTAAATCTCTGCACCAAATTCACCTTAAATCAGCAAATAGTAGAGCCTACACGACTAGAAAATACGCTGGACCTCATCGTCACTAACAACGACGATCTGATACGTAATATAACTGTATCAAAGACAATAAACTCAGATCACAACATAATAGAGGTACAGACACGTATGCACAGTGCTTCCGACCAGCAAAATGTGAGCAGTCATGAAGGTCTCTTCACGAAATTCAATTTCAATAACAAAAACATACAATGGGATCAAGTAAACCATGTCCTAAATGAAACAAGCTGGGAAGATATCCTAAACAACACGGATCCAAACATTTGCCTTGAAAAAATTAATTCTGCGGTTCTTGAGATCTGCTCAAGACACATTCCACTAAGAAAAAGAAAGAGAAGATGTAAACTAGAAAAAGAGAGATGCTCCCTATACAGACGAAAGCAAAGAGTCACAGAGCTGCTGAGTGGGACCAATATCTCGGAAATGCGAAGGGAGGCACTAGTCAATGAAATTGCAAATATCGAACTTAGGCTGAAGGAATCTTACAGGAGACAAGAATCACAGGAAGAGCTAAAAGTCATAAAGGAAATTGAAAAAAAAAATAATTCTTCTCTTATGCGAAATCTAAGGGAAAACCAGCATCCAGTATTGGGCCCCTGCTTAGGCAGGATAAGATAAGATAAGATTTCGTTCGGATTTTTAACCCCGGAGGGTTAGCCAACCAGGATAACCCAAGAAAGTCAGTGCGTCATCGAGGACTGTCTAACTTATTTCCATTGGGGTCCTTAATCTTGTCCCCCAGGATGCGACCCACACCAGTCGACTAACACCCAGGTACCTATTTGCTGCTAGGTGAACAGGACAACAGGTGTAAGGAAACGTGTCGAAATGTTTCCACCCGCCGTGTGTGAAGCGGGAGCTTTAGCCACCAGGCCCGGGCCACCGGGATGTGACATACACAGATGACAGCCAAGAAATGAGTGAGATACTAAAGTTCCAATATGACTCAGTGTTCAGCGAGCCACTGCCTAGAATAAGGGTCGACAACCCAAATGATTCTTTATGAACGAAGCCCAAAATTTGGACATCCCAAAAATCTCGGATATTATCCTAACTCCACAAGACTTTGAAGAGGCAATAAATGCACTCTGCCCCAGACCCAGACTCCTGGAATTTCGTGTTCATCAAAAACTGCAAGAAGTCCCTATCGCGTGCCTTCAGCATTTTATGGAGAGGGAGCATGGATACAGGGGTCATCCCACACACACTAAAAACAACAGACATAGCCCCACTCCACAAGGGTGGCAGTAAAGCAATTTCAAAGAATTACAGACCAATAGCACTAACATCCCATATCATAAAAATCTTTGAGAGGGTTCTAGAAAGCAAGATCGCCAACCACCTAGATACCCATCAATTACACAACCCAGGGCAACACGGATTTAGAGCAAGTCGCTCCTGCCTGTCCCAGCTACTGGACCACTATGGCAAGGTCCTGGATGCTGTGAAGGATAAACAAAATACAGAGGTAGTATACACAGACTTTGTAAAAGCTTTCAACAAGTGTGACCATGGCATAATAGCATTCAAAATGCGTGATAAAGGAATAACAGAAAAGTTGGTAGATGGATCTATAACTTCCTGACAAATAGAACACAAAGAGTAATAGTAAACAGAGTAAAGTCTGAGGCAGCCACGGTAAAAAGCTCTGTTCCACAGGGCATAGTACTCGCTCCCATTCTACTCCTCATCCTCATTTCTGACATAGAAAGAGATGTAAGTCATAGCTCCGTGTCTTCCTTTGCGGATGACACCCGGATTACCATGGCAGTGACCTCCATTAAAGACACCGCGAGACTCCAAGCGGACATCAACCAAATCTTCGAATGGGCCACTCAAAACAATATGAAGTTCAATGAGGAGAAATTTCAACTACTCAGATAAGGAAAACTTGAGGAAATTAAAATGTATCAGGGTATATAACAAATTCTAGCCATACAATAAAGCGATAAAGTAATGTGAAGGACCTGGCAGTGATAATGTCAGAGGACTTCGCCTTCAAAGACCACAACAATGTATCCACCTCATCCGCTAGGAAAATGATAGGATGGATAATGAGAACCTTCAAAACTAGGGACGCCAAACCCGTGATGATTCTCTTTAAATCGCTGGAATACTGCCCTGAAGGCTGGAATACTGTTGTACACTAACGGTCCCTTTCAAGGCTGGCGACACTGCAGAGGGAGGGATTGGTACCAAACTTGCACACGACAATCACTCCCTATGAAAGCAAAAGACTCGGCAGGAGATGCAATATTCCCCCAGTGAAAAGCAGGGGCGCAACGAGTACATTGAGAAACAACACAATAAGTGTCCGGGGTCCAAGACTGTTCAACTGCCTCCCAGCCTACATAAGGGGAGATTGCCAATAAACCCCTGGCTGTCTTTAAGAAGGCACTGGACAGGCACCTAAACCACTACCTGACAGGCACTGACAGGCACCTAAGTCAGTACCTGACCAATCGGGCTGTGGTTCATCCGCCAGCTTGCGTGCGGCCAGTAGTAACAGCCTGGCTGATCAGACCCTGATCCACCGTGAGGCCTGGTCTCAGACCAAGCCGCGGGGGCGTTGACCCCCAAAATCCTCTCCAGATAAACTCCAGGTAATAGGGAGGTTAACATGGGCCACCACTGTGACCACAAATGCAAGTTTTTACAGAAAAAATCTCCCGCCAGCGTGGCCCTGACAAACTCTAGCTCCCTCAAAGCCGTCATTATGACAACTTTGTAGCCAGCTGGCCCAATAACTTACGTGCTGGCCTGGAGTTTTACGACTCACTTGCCACCAGCTCAATCCCCACCCGTGGTATGGTTTGTATGCAATCATATCATTACGATTTCGTGAGTCCTGAACTGCACATGTCTTTTTCCACATCCTGTCGGTATCACTATACCATTTCTCATTTATCCGTTTGCGGACTGATAAAGGCCAATGAGCGGGCAAAAAGTTGTCGATACTGGATTCCAAATAACTGCATTTGTCTCCCTTTACAATTATTATTACTATTAACATTATTATCTTTGATAAATGAGACACTTGTGCAACATTTAGGTATCTTTATTCTGGAAGCGTTTTGCCAGCCAGTGGCTTCTTCAGTCCAATGCAGCGAAAGGTGAAAGATGAGAAGGAGTTTGAGGTAATCAGTCCCTCAGCCTGGAGGTGATGTGGTCAGTTCATCAATCTTGATAAAAGTGCACCATATTCGCGGATGACCTTTTTCTGCATTTGACTGAAGAAACCATTGCGTGGCGAGAAGTCTCCAGAATAACGATACTCAATGTTGCACAAGTGTCTCATTTATCAACTTCTCGGTTTTATAAACCATTTATTTACATTATTATTCTTACTGTTATATCGTGGTTTCCAACAGTTAATCTCATCGCTGACTTTTCTATGCAACTTGTTTTGGGTTAACTTAAATTAATCAATTCTAACAGAACTTAACAACACTTGCCCGGGAGTCTTTTCTTGATGTAAGCGGACAGGAAGGCCCAGGAAAGATACTATACAAGACGGAACGTCAGAAAACTAATGCTGAGTTCAATGACGAACGTGGCTTTCAACGTTCTTAGACAAAGACAAAATTTATTTATTTGCAAAGGTTACAATGTTTGTTTACATTTTATACGTGTTGTTAGGTACAAAGAAAGCCACTAACATAGTTTATGCTGTACTTGCTTATGAGGGGTAAGCGGCTAAACTTAAATCATTAATTTTAGGGTCACTGTCAAATTAGGAGACAATATAAATGAAGTTAAGCCATACCTGTGCATGACGAATAAGTATTAATGGAGGAAGACATGGTGTAACTATGCTTGAGTCGCTTCACGTGGAAGTGTTGGTAGTAGAAGATCATGAAGACAACTCCCAAGGTGAACGCTATGAATACTAGAGCTGTCACTGGATACTGATACCAAGGAGTGGACCTGAGGCCTCCCAGCCACACAGCTACCAGAAGAGCGTTCTCAAGCAGCATGGTGATGTAGAAGGCTACCATCTTCTGCCGGGCGTTGATTTCTTGCAGGTTGATATAGCAGAATATGTAACAGAAAGCAATTAACATTGAAAATATCACCTTCTTAAACAATGGCATCTTTTCACCATGAAAGACATTCTTTGGCGAAATAAGCCAGAGGAACATGGAGATCCAGTGGAGGGCGATGACGAGGAAGACCCAGTAACCATAGAGTGTTGCATACACAGTCAGTGCCAGTGAACGAGAAGTTATGGTACCAAGACGCCAAAGGAACTGAAAAATAACTCCTAGCCAGGTCAGAATTAACCGATGGACGTTATGTCGGCGCACATTCTTATTGAAGGAAGCCAAGGCCCAACACACACTGAAAAGCGACAACGCTGTCGACACTATGTTAAGGTCAGTTAGATCAGAAAGCGCAGGTTTGCGCCAAATAAGGTAGAGCTGGATGAGCAACATGGGGGCCGCCTCACAAAATGCATGGATGAGTCGCAACATACACAAGTCGCGAACCTCATGTTTGACGTACCGAAGATCAACAGGAATAAAGAGCTTGAAGTAGCGCCAGAGGACGCCTCCCTGGACTAAATGGAGCAGGATCATGAGGGAAAGATCACAGTCTTTCTTGGCCAGGTCCTTCCTGAGGCTGGAGAAATACCACTTGAGAGAGCAGAGCTGACACACGACGAGGGAAAGGATGACGCAGGAGAGCGCCAGCGTGAACCACACCACCTCCTGCTGATCGTAGAGCGTGTAAATTGTGACCACGTCGAAAACCACATCACAGAAGTAGGAGGCCAGCGAGATGATGTTGAAGAGCACATCGCAGAGTGGGAGGAACTCCTGGGCCATGATATTGCCACTGGATACCGCTCACATCCTGCCACCGCTGCTGCACCGCCACTCCTGAAAGAACAACCTACGTTAGTTACTGCACCCCCACCACCTCCGCCACCACGTCAACACTGCTTGCTCAACACATGACAATACTCTTAAACCACAACACTTATGGGGATGGGGGCTTGGAACTGGAATAAGTAGCTGAGAGGGCTGGAGAGACGGAGGCCGTGGTTATAGGGAGAGATGTAGGAGGTTTTAGGAAAGAGGGATGAGTTGAGCGGGTAGGCTTTCTATGGAGGAGAAGTTAGGCCAAATGACACAAAAATAGCTGCGCTTTTAAGTACTGTGAGAAATAACAAATATTAATAATAGAGCAAATGACATAAAACAACATTATACTTGTCTAACAATTCACATCAAAATACCTTTAACGAAAATAACTGCTTACTAGTAATATTAATAGCGGTAATGATACAAGCAGTAGTAGTGGTAGTAGTTGTGACAGCAGTAAAGGTAGTAGAAGTGACAGTAGTAGTAGTAGTAGTAGCACCAGCAGTAATAGTAGCACCAGCAGTAATAGTAGTAGTAGCACCAGCAGTAATAGTAGTAGTAGTAGCACCAGCAGTAATAGTAGTAGTAGCACCAGCAGTAATAGTAGTAGTAGTAGCACCAGCAGTAATAGTAGTAGTAGTAGCACCAGCAGTAATAGCACCAGCAGTAATAGTAACAACAGTAATAGGAGTAACAGTAGTAGTAATAATAATAATAGTATGGGAGGAAACACTGGAGAGTGTTTCCTTAAGACACCTGCTGTCCCTGTTCACCTACCAGTAAAATAGGTACCTGGGTGTTAGCCGACAGATGTGGGTCGCATCTTGGGAGACAAAATTAACCTAATTTGCCCGAAATGCTCTGCATAACAAAGGGCTTTCTATACAGTATGTCACTGATGCCAGCTAGGTCTGTATACGTTGTACATGTAATTGTAGAAATAAAGATTATTATTACTATTAATCAATAAGGTTTGTTTCATAATGTGCCATATATTATATACACACCACACACATTACATATATTATATACACACCACACACATTACATATATATATACACCCACACACATTACATATATTATATACACACCACACACATTACATATATTATATACACACCACACACATTACATATATTATATACACACCACACACATTCATATATTATACCACACAACACATACATATAACAACACAAAATAAAACACCACTACATAATGCAAATCTCGGCTACTCATAACTTAATAACTTTACGTCTAGCTAGTGCAAGATTTCATAGTCGCCAATATATTTTTTATACTCTATTTCATAATATTCAGTACAGTATAAACATACACCACACATCACGTCACTATTTCATAATATTCAGTACAGTATAAACATACACCACACATCACGTCACTATTTCATAATATTCAATACAGTATAAACATACACCACACATCACGTCACTATTTCATAATATTCAGTACAGTATAAACATACACCACACATCACGTCACTATTTCATAATATTCAGTACAGTATAAACATACACCACACATCACTATTTTCTATATGTCATACAGTTAAAATAACAGACTTCTACTATCAAAATTTTAAGTATAAAACAACTATACTGTTTATATATTCTACTATATACACAAATCGTATTTTCAATATATACAAAAAATACACCACACATACATATTATAATTGTCCATACAGAGTAAATACATAAATATGACTATTTATACCTAATGATTCAGAGTTAAAAATATAGACATTCTTACTGTCCTATCATAATTTCAACGTTAAACATACGCAACATCCAGTCGCTTTAATATACCATCTTACTAATGAAGCATATGTGACAACTACTGTGTGTGGTACCTCCACATACATTGCAGAAATAATAATATAGGTGCATACAGATAATATGAAGACTATAGTCGTTACACCTCATGTTGATATAACATCACTGACCAATTTTGCTTACGGCATACTGATGTTTTATCCTGGATGATGTTCCGTCATAAGCCACTCTGGGCCTCGCTAATGAGAAAGTATTCCTGTGGATCAGTATAGCCTAGATATCAACCAGGTTTTACAGTATTTCTTGCTGCTTCACGGAAACCAAAGTTCGGAAGCCCAGCCCGGTCTGACCAGGACTACTTGTAGTGCTTGATCCCAGTTTGCCGCTGAAATACTGCCAGCGGTGTCGTGAATCCACTTATGTGTGCTGGGCAGTGCCAGTTGAAACAGTCCAGGCGTCTTGTACCTTATTGTATGGAGTCTCTTAACAGTCTGTGACACTTCTGATGGCTTCTTACTGGGTAGTGACACCGTTCATGGGTGGTCATCATCTGCCAGTCTTTTGCTTTCGTAATGAGTGATTTTCGTGTGCAAGTTCGGTACTAGTCCCTCTAGGATTTTCCAGGTGTATATAATCATGTATCTCTCCCTCCTGCGTTCCAGGGAATACAGGTTTAGGAACCTCAAGCGCTCCCAATAATTGAGGTGTTTTATCTCCGTTATGCGCGCCGTGAAAGTTCTCTGTACATTTTCTAGGTCGGCAATTTCATCTGCCTTGAAAGGTGCTGTTAGTGTGCAGCAATATTCCAGCCTAGACAGAACAAGTGACCTAAAGAGTGTCATCATGGGCTTGGCCTCCCTAGTTTTGAAGGTTCTCATTATCCATCCTGTCATTTTTCTAGCAGATGCGATTGATACAATGTTATGGTCCTTGAAGGTGAGATCCTCCGACATGATCACTCCCAGGTCTTTGACGTTGGTGTTTCGCTCTATTTTGTGGCCAGAATTTGTTTTGTACTCTGATGAAGATTTAATTTCCTCATGTTTACCATATCTGAGTAATTGAAATTTCTCATCGTTGAACTTCATATTGTTTTCTGCAGCCCACTGAAAGATTTGGTTGATGTCTGCCTGGAGCTTTGCAGTGTCTGCAATGGAAGACACTGTCATGCAGATTCGGGTGTCATCTGCAAAGGAAGACACGGTGCTGTGGCTGACATCCTTGTCTATGTCGGATATAAGGATGAGGAACAAGATGGGAGCGAGTACTGTGCCTTGTGGCACGAATTATCCAGTGTTTTAATGAAAAGCTGGAAAAGGCATAACAAATGATGGAACGCAACACACACGTTCAACAGTTTTGGTACCTTTATTTCGAAACTTATCGCCTACAGAGTAGGCGTCTTCAGTTGGATACAGAAGAGTTAGCAGAAGTAGTAGAGATGTGAAGACGATGTAATCAGTCCTTCACTAGAAAGAAGTAATTTTGAGGTAGTCAGTCCCTCAGCCGGGAGAAGAATGTTGGACAAAACTCTTCTCCTGGAGGAGGAGGAGGAGGAGGAGAGGAGGAGGAGGAGGAGGAGGAGGAGGAGGAGGAGGAGGAGGAGGAGGAGGAGGAGGAGGGGGGGAGGAGGAGGAGGAGAGGAGGAGGAGGAGGAGGAGGAGGGAGGAGGAGGAGGAGGAGGAGGAGGAGAGGAGGAGGGAGGAAGGAGGAGAGGAGGAGGATTTGGTTCAGTGCAAAGTAAATGGGGGCTTTTTTGGAATACCCGGGTTTGCAAATTGCTTCCTGCCTCAAAAAAATTATCAACAAAACCCCGAAGCTTTTAAACCTTTTTTAAAATTTTAGGTTACCCCAACAACTCCCGGGGCCCTGCCCCCCTTCCCTTTTTTTTCCCCAATTTTTTTCCCCCTATAAAAACCCCTTTTCCCCCAAAAATAAACCCCCAAACTTCAACCCCACCCTAAAGGTTTTCGCCTCCCCATGAAAACAAAAACCCTCTTGAAAAAAACCCTCCGTGGCACCCCACCAAAAATATAAATAAACAAAACAAACCCTCCTTTCAAAAAATACCAGTAAAAAAAACCCACATAACAAATCCCTGAACCCAAAAACCCACCGTAACTTACCATCAAAAAACCCTAAAGAAAAACCCCCCTCCAGTAACAAAATACAAGTGAAATAAAACCCCCCAGTAAAAAACCCTCCCAGTGAAAAAAAACCCCCCTACATAAACCAAAAACCCAAAAGTGAAAAAAACCTCCAGAAAAAATAAAGGAAAAAGAAAAAAAAAAAATAAGGAAAAAATCCGTGAAAAAAAAAGTGAAATTTTTTCCGTGAAAAACTTTGTTAAAAACCCAAGTAAAAAAACCCCCCTAACAAAATACCTAACAAAAACCAGGCAAAACCCAAAGTGCCCCCCGAGTAAATAAATCCCCAAAAAAAACCCAAAATCATCCCCCCTCACAAACCCTCCAAAACAAACCCCCCTAAAAAACCCCTCCAAAAATCCCCTTTAAACAAACAAACCCCTCATCAAACCCCTTCCCCAAAAACCCCCGTAACAAACCCCTCCATAAACAACCCTCCCAGTGAACAAAACACCCTACCATCAAAAAAAACCCCTACCAGGAAATAACACCCTCCCAGTAAACACAAACCCTACCAGTGAACAAAACCACCAGTCAACAAACCCTCCCAGTAAAACTAACACCCTACCAAAAACCACAAACCCAACCAGTGAACAAAACCCCTCCAGTAACACAACCCTACCATAAACAAAAAACACCCTCCCATGAACAAACCCTAAAAGGGGAACATAACACCCTACATGAAAAAAAAACCCTCCAGTACATAAACCCTCCAGTAAACACAAACCCACCAGTAACAAACACCCTACCGGAACAAAAAACCCTCCCATGAACATACACCCTACCAGCAACAAAAACCCCTCCAGTGAAATAACCCCCCCCCCAGTGAACCCAAAACCCCCCCATAAACATAACCCCTCCCAGTAAAACACAAACCCTCCAGTGAAATAACACCCTACCAAAAAACCAAAAACCCTACCATAAAAACATAACCCCCTCCCATAACAAAACCCACCAGTGAACATAAACCCCCCAGTGAAACAAACCCACCATGAACAAAAAAACCCTACCATAACCCCAAAACCCTAATGAACATACACCCTACAAGAAAAACACAAACCCTACCATGAA